CACAACAGTCTGATAGCCGGGAAATTGTCTAGTTTTCAGTCAAATGTCATGAACCGAGTTGAGTTCGTGGTACTTCGAAACTGACATTTGCACTTTTTCCCAGGCCCATGCCTTCTGTTCTTGGCGGTCTCGTCTCACTTCCATCTACCACTTTTTTTCTCTTCGTTTCGACTCCATTTTTCGTTATCCCTTTTAGATATTCATATTTTGCCATTGATGATATTTTCACTACTTTCGTATGCATTACACGAACGGCGCCCGCACAGCCGCCCATCTATATATGTGAGTGGCTCCTGTATGTGTGTATGTATGTGTGGGGTTTTTATATGGTGGAGGGGGGGAGTGGAGAGGGGGTCCCGCCTTTGGGCCGTATTAACTCTGCCCGGCCGAACATGGCTGTGTGCGTCGAATTTGCATATTTTTTGACTTAACACATCCTTCAAAAATTGCGAAACGCGTTTGCGATAGCTTTGGCATTTCCTTGACGTCTTTCCGCTCTTTCCGCTTTTCCTTCATTTTTTCTATCCCCATTTTTTTCGGTGAGCTATCTATTTGGCCTCTCAGTGGAAAAGTTCAACCCATTAAAGCCAAAATGCTTTAAATACCACATTGTGTCCGATGTGCGGGCCTGGCTTTTATGGGACTCCCGTGTGCTGGCCAAATTGAATTGGCCACATTAAGCGCTCGCGCCCCCATTGTGGCATACATGCATGTGCATATATCTGTTGGCCAAATTGATTCGCAGTCACTTTAATGGCTGGAGTGTATTTAAATTTCATGCGGTGCTGGTTTGGGCCGGGCTCTTAAGACAAGTGGCGCTAATCCTTGACTTTGCTGCTAATGCACGTCGTATGTCAAACACCAAAAACGTTTACACCCCCCGCCGGCATTCCCCATTTCCCTTTTTCCGCTCAATCCCCCCCTCCCCCCTCTTCAGCCACCCGCACTAGTAACGCAATTTATATGCCTTCCTCACTGGCTTGTTTGTCTTGGCAACGTCTTCTGCGCTTTTCCCCTGCCGCAATGCCCCCTTTTGTGTGCCATGCATTTTTCTGCACTTTTGACTTTTAAGCGTGCACTTGGCCAGGCTCAGAGCCTCGGTTTCAGCCTCGGTTTCAGCCGCAAACCCACCAGCGCTCCTCCCCGAAAGCCCCACTCGTTTTGTACGCGTTGTTTGTCTTAAGGGATATATACTCTCTGGTGTATGCGAGGATATTTGCCAGCACTCTGCCGCAGGCATTTTGATAAGAAAAACAAACCCGCACACACACACACAGCACCAGCAGAAGCAGAAGCACACTGGCACAGCGAGTCGGGCTCAAGTGTCATTTATGCGTTTTAATGCCGGAATTTAATTTTCAAATTAAGTAAATAAGTTCGCGTAAAAAGTTTCTATGGATACAAGCCGAGTATCTTCATCTTGAGCTCTGCACAAAAGGCGCCCTTGGCTGTTCATTTCGCGAATTGCAGTCACTCTGTAGCCGTAATAAACTCTTGGCATTGAATAAAAATTATATGATAAACTATAAGAGACTTAACGTTTCTGCGGTACTTAAGGTATAATTGAAGCGATTCCAGTGCACAAAGTACTTGGGAAGTACGAAATTCGAATATATACTGAGAAAAAATGCAAAAAAAACGAATTACTACCGATAATAATTATTATTGATGATGAATTTTTAAAATGGCAAATTTTTGTCCATTTTTTTTAACCCACATGTATACAATTTTTCACATTTTATTTTAAAATGGGATACAAATTGAAGAGCGTATATTGTCACGTTCAATAATATATGAGCAAAAATATATAGCAGAAATTGCATTCCGCCAATTTTCCAGTCTTTATAGTATGCAATCTTTAATTTCAGGTAAGAAAATTTTGATAAATTTGATTAGACGAACCGAGCCACTATATACGCATTAAATCTATAAGTACCGAATGTAAAACGATGGTTTACGTTTTTCTGTGCAGCGAGTTCTATTCTTAGAATTTCTTTGGTTCCCTAGAAACCCCTTTCACTTGAGAACGAGTTTCGAGTTCTGTTCTTCTGTTTGAGCCAGCTCAATAAGCTGCCCTCAGATGTTCATCTAACTGCACATAATGGTCGATTCGATGGCGACGCGTTACGATTCTGCTCGATTCTCGCTTTGAAGTAATTTTCGTTTCGCTTATATAGATTGCCTTTGGCTCTTGGCATTTCCGGGCAATTTTCCTCGGCTATTGTATCAATTTGCAATTATGTTTCAATCAATTTTATTGCCATCTAATCTGCGGAGCAAAATAGATTGCTTTTTGCAGGGCAGTGAGGATATGTAGCCAACAGCTATGGGGCAGCCATGGATATGTGTTTTAAGTTCCGATTGAGGAAGCTTTATATTCGTTTTTTCTCCTTGGCAACTTTAAAAGGTGTTGCCAGTGGCTCACATTTTATTATGTTTGTGAGGTGGTTGATCTTATAGATTCATAAAATGTACATTCATTCTTTTCAAAAATACGAATCGAGAGGTTGTAGGTTTTCCGTGCACTCGCCAGCAACATTTGAAAATGAATCTCCTGAATCGCCTCGGCCTGTCTTTTCTCATATAATTATTTTTCTCTGGAACAGATTGAAAACTTCCATATTTTCCAATAGAAAAACGAAAAGGCTGAGAACATAATTGGCAATGCTCGTTCGATAAACACACTCACACTGCCGACCGCACTTCATGAAGAAGGTGACAGCAAAGTGGTTTACTTTTTGGAAAGCTCCTGCAAAGAGTGCCAGGACTTCGATGACGCTTTAAAGGACCTGTCCTGTGTGTTGAGGGAATGCAGCAGAGTTCCCGAATTCCTCATCTTCAATTGTGCCCGGAAGATGAATGTGCTCCCAACAAGGTAAGGTCCAATACCAAAGGCTTTCAGCCAAGATTGCATAGGACAGACAAACTATAGAGATATCCAGAAACATTTTGAAAACATTGGATTAAAGTCCGGTAATTTAATAGATGTAATTTTCCATCTTATCTTATGCCATCTGATATAAGATGGAAACAATTCAGGCGTATGCTTTCACTATTTACAGAATGAAGAAATACATGTGTGATTAATATTGATTAAATCCCTATTAATAAAACAGTATAAGCTTAAACACAAAACCAAAATCTATTAAATACTTTTATTTAGTCTTGAGTACCAACCTGGAATTGGAATTTTGAAAAAATCATAACTTCTTACTTCTTTAGTTAGTGACAAATTATGTTACCATTTGATCTGAGACACAAATATATAGCTTTCTGCCAAGTTCTAAGGATATGTTGCCCCCAATGAATAAACTTTAAACTCCAGTCGAGGAGGCTTTCTTTACGTACCTGCAACTTGCCAACCTCTCACCTTTGCAACACTTCTCTTGGCCAATTGTCACTTTGGCTTGTTAGGCCCGAGTGTCGCATTGTGGTAAATGACGGCGCTTGTTAGCCGAGTTAACGAGACTTGCAAGTCGCACAAATCCCCGCTCGGAGACTCATTACGGGCCAAAGGCCATGTGTTCGCCCAGCCGGGAAAATCAAAGGGTGTACTGTTTGCAGGGGGTCCCACTGAATGCGAGTAATTGGCCAAAACTGCCCACGCAACTATTTCATAAACAAAATCAGGGCACCAGCTGGAGGTCCAAAATATTCCGGCCAACCGATTACAAAGCCCACCAACCGAATTTCGTGATTTCAGAGCTCGAATTAGAAATGGGTGCACAGAAAATAGTGAATAACTCTTTAAACATTGATTCTCTATTTATATATGCTTTAAGACTCTCGACATTTAAATTATAACAAAAAATTGTATCAAACTGTATTTTTTAGTGACTAAATTCAAGAGTATAACAAACAAAAGCATTCATTATTTATTTCATTTTCAATAACAACCAGTCAAAAAAGCACGATAAATTGAAATTAAATATTTTTGTGAGGTACATATACATATATAAAAAGAAAATACTCCTTTACATCATAACATTTTTTTTTAATACATTGAGACCATTGAGCAATAATATCTAACTTTAGAAAAAATTTATTTTTTTAAAATATACGTACAAATAAAAATAGGACCTTTTAATTTTAAAGGAATATGAAATGTTCATATTTCTGTGTATATTTGAAGTGCGTTCCATTGCCCAGCATCGATTACATTTTGTCGGCGTGCAGCGAAACATTTATCATCAATTAATGGCATTAGTAAATGTTTGGCAAAGAATTTGGAGCTACCAAAATATTATTGTTGTATATGCAGGGCCATAAATAATACCAAAATACCGTTCTTTGTGCCCGCACACACCCACAAAAACACATATAAACTCGGCCACTCGCATATTGAATGCAATAAATTTATGGCACATTTTAAATTCAATTGAATTCGTGCGTTTGCTTTGTTGCCAATCCGCACCCCGACCCCCTCCCCCTCTCACCGAAAGCCGGCTTGTTTATTTCGTTTTTTAAGCCACACAGCGTCAGCAAATATTGCTATTAATTCTTAATAATAATAATAATAGCAGCAGCAACGCGGGAAGGTCTCTCTGTGTGTCTGCCACGATGACGACTGTGTGGCCTGGCCGAGCCACTAACGCTGCACTTTATTTATGGCCTGCATTTTGCACTTTTATTGTTTTTAAATTTATTTACATTTTTTATGATTAAAATATTTTTCATTTGCGGCTTAAGAGCAAATTTATACTCGACCGGCGAGTGAGCCCCTCCTGTTGCCGATGCCTTAAATAAGTTTTATAAATTATCCTGCCATTGCCGCGGAGCTTTAAATAGTTGTGCTTTATTTAATTACACGCAAACACCGCGGGCATTATGCGGCCCAACAACAACATGTGGCCGGGTCATTTAATTAATCCACCATTTGGCCAGGAGCAGTTTCGATTGAGTCCAAGGGGCCTGGTTAACTACACTAGATGTGGGACTCGATCGATTCCAAATGTCAGGCACAGCACACTTGGCATTTCCAATCACCGGCAGTTATTCAATCGCTTTATTCGATAAAATCCTTTGAGCCTTCTTATTTACCAGCAATGAGCTGCGATTTGGTGGATGATCTCAGGCGCTTCCTGCACTGGGGTCCCATCACGCTTCTGAGTCTGACCCTGGTGGTCACCTGGACCGTGATCGAAATGAACTCGATGTGGTGGACTCCGGGCCAGAGTCTGGGATCCGCAGTGAACTACACCTTGATCTGGCTCCACACCTTTGGCACTCTGTACAACTTTATCAAGGCCTTGATGGTGGGTCCTGGATATATTCCACTGCAGTGGTACCCCAAGCGGGTCAAGGATACCGAGTACTTGCAGTTCTGCCTTCGCTGCGATGGCTACAAGGCTCCTAGATCGCATCACTGTCGCAGGTGCGATCGGTGTGTGATCAAGATGGATCACCATTGCCCCTGGATCAACACCTGCGTGGGCTGGTCCAATCAGGCCAGCTTTGTATACTTTCTCCTCTTTTTCCTATCGGCCAGTATCCACGGAAGTACTATCATCATCTGCGCCGTAATCCGTGGATTGGGAAAACGCTGGTTCATCAAACAGGGACTACATCATATGGCCACCGTGCATTTGACCCCATCGAATCTGATGGCCTGTGTTGTAAGTCTTGGAGTGACCACGGGCACTGGTTTGGCCAGTATTAAGCTGCTTTACATGCAGCTCAAGGTGATAGTGAAGAACCAGACTGAAATCGAGAGCTGGATTGTGAAGAAGGCGGGTTTTCGTCGCAACGCATATCCTGGTAACAGGATCAGGCCCTTTGTTTTTCCCTACAATCTGGGCTGGCGATCTAACTGCCGCGAGGTCTTCTTTGCCACTGGCGATGGCATCTCCTGGCCAGTCCTGCCGGGATGTAATCAATATACCATTACGCGGGAACAACTGGAACAGAAGAAGGACAAAAGGGCCCGTACCCGGTCCTACAGGTGCATTCGTCCTGCCACTGGTCACTGGCTGCCCTTCATCTCGCAGGGTGTGTGGACATCCCTCAATATTCCCTGCACCGATGATCCTCGCATTTCCCTTCAGCCAGAGGATCTCATTCAGGTGACTCGCATTCAGGAGCACTGGCTTTATGGTGAGAGGGTGATCTCGGAGGAGGAGAAGGAACAGGGAATGAGGCGCAAGGGTGCCATTAGGGGCTGGTTCCCATCCCGTTGTGCTGTGGAAATACTAGGGGAAGAATCTTATAACGAGGAGGATAACGATGATGTGGCACCCGATCAGAAGGAGGAATTGGTGGATACCAAATGTGAGAAGACATGTGAGGAATCCAATCAGAATAGAAAGATACCGAGGGATTTTCCCAGCCCAGATGGAAAGCCAAGAAAGCGCGTACGCATTTAGTAAAGAGTATTCCTTTCGGCGACTTCAATCCCAAAGAGCAATCCCTGACATATGCCGCAATGAAATTGCTATGGTTAACCGACGCATTAATCTCTTAATGCTTAATGCTTTTCAATAATGCATAAATAAATAAATAAATACTTTCGCCGCGGCAGCAAGCCAAATGAGAACGTTAATGTTAATGCCGTCCGATCGCCAGGAGTTGTTCTATGCCGCGTAATTGAGTTGCAGGCCCGATTTCACGGTACATTGGCCTTAAAGTCACGGCAGCAGCTGCTCTTAACCGGTTGTGTGTGCATCTGCTGGCAAGTAATTTGCAAAGCTCCATTGTTTTATTTTTCTACTACCCAGTTAGGTATCCGTGACAGGAAACAGGAACACACACACCCTCGCACAGGACATAAAAAACGAGCTGCAACAAGGACGAACGGCATTGAAAGCCGGCTCGCGAATCAATTGAAATGCACGACCTGCAAAATTTGAGCTGAGTCGCGGATTTGCCATTGTACTATAAACATGGCCAGGTAAATCAATACAACTCTTCCATTCTATATCCTCTGAATCTGTATCTCGGGTATCTGACGATGCAGATGCAAAGGTGGGTGAGCGAGACCGGACAAAAGGTGAATGAATTCCGTTGAATCATTAGCGTGCCGTCTATTAAATTGAAAGCCAGTCGGATCAATGGGTTTCCTCCACTCGAGCGGAGTGAAATTTATACCCCTTGGTTCAGGTTGGCCAATGCAAAAGGCATTGAATAATCACTTACAGCAATCATCACTGCTTTTGCTGTAAAGGGATCAGCTTTTGGTCGGCAAACAAAGCCGTCGCTTGGGGGAAACACTCGGCTCAATGTTGTCCAAGTCCAAGGCTGCGACTGCGTGTTTGGCTCAAAATTAGATAAATGCAATTTGAATTTGTGTGTAAGTTGTAGGAAACAGGCCGCAGGGAAATCAGTGGCCGTTGTCATGAGTTAATAGGCGCTGGGAATTGACGCGTTGGAGGCTGCTCTCAGTCTCATATGACAGGCGGTATGATAATTCAATGCAAAGGAGCGCAGTAGTCAATAAATGTGTGCACGAAGTGTTGGGACGCAGGGGAGCGTGAAGTGGCCGGGGTTAGACAACTGCCTGGGAGCTTCTAGCCGGGATTTGTGTTTCAAGATGCCATCAGCAATCCAGGACAACAAATCCACCCGCTTTAGTAAACCCTCTCCAAGCTGCGTGCTGCTTTTGGGGTCATTTGGGTGACGGCGTGGAAAATGCAAAACAAATAATCGCTTCTGGCCAGTGGAAAATCAATAGAAAAAGGGATTTCGTTTTTGTCGGACTCTGTCTGGGGAATTGAGGTTAACATCGGGGCTGGGACATCCGAGCAGCAGCAGCAGCTGAAAAGTGTGCAGTAAAAATAGCCATAAATAAATCTGCGTAAAAATAAAGCATGTGCCAACAGCCATAAACATAAACAATGCAACTTTCTGTGCCGCTTTCGCAGCTAGTTTCCTTTCTTTTTTTCACCCCACTCCAGGGTACTGACTGCCTTTTATAAAGCGGAAACAAAATAAATTTTACATAAACATTTGCCACACAACAAAAGGGAACTTTAATGACTTTTGTCGTTGCAAAATAATTGTGCGTGAATTTTCGCCGCCACACACACAAATCGCTTTCGGGAAAAGTCCGTGGAGAAGGACTGGCAGGACTCAGTTCGCTTTCAATGTCCTGCTGGCATTTAATTTCACGGACTGTCGTCCATTTTATGCTTTGGCAACACTTTTGACTTTTATTTTGAGGCGCCCCCTCGTTTTTCCGCTCCCACTCCCTCCTCACTCCCTCCCACTCATTTCAAATCCCCGATTTCACCCTCCTCTGTTGGCTTTTCTGGGGGCTGTCGTGATTGGAAGCTGATACCCTCGCTTTGGAAAACGCTTTAAGGATGCCGCTTTGTCCGCCCTGGCAATTATGTGCACTATGACGACTCGGCATTTATCTGCTCGACAATGACAAGCCAAGCAGGTGGGGAGACACTCGTATCACTTACAGTCTGGCAAGCAGAACAAAGGCAATTATGGCATCATTAGAGCCAGATGCAGCAATTGCATCGGCAGGAAGCACTTATCCCATATCGGTAGCAGCCAGAGTGCCAGAGTGGATAAAAGCACAGCAGCTCTGCTCATCAGCCCAGCAGCACAAAGTCGACCAAATGCCATATGCATACGCATGTGGACTAGAGTGGACCTTCGAGATACAAAATAATAATAGGATTAAATTGATTGATTCATTTTTATAATTGTCGCAATAGGGTAAGTTCATCGGCATGGTCGTAGAATTTTTTTTTAATTTCTAAACATTTTTGAAGGGGCCATATATGGATATACATTCAAGGGATATAAAAATATATGTAGGAATCAGGAATAAACCAGAAGAGCAAGTAGGAAGAGAGACACGGAGCGGTTGTCGCTTCTAATAAAGTATATCGAGAACGCGAGAGAATCGATAAAGTAGAACTCAAGAAGAGTCAGTCGGTGTCAAGATCTCAAGCGTCACGCAAGCACAGAAATTTAAGTTTTGTTAACTCATTAAAGTTAAAACCACAATATTTGTAATCGGATACCAAATAATAATAATCAATAAACATTATAATAATATATCACTTCGTCGTCTCAAGAGTTGTTTGCATCACTGCGGAATTCCTGGGGCCACAATTTTGGGGGCTCAACCGGAGATATTTGGATCCATTACAAACTACAGTCATTAAACTGAGTTGTGCGTTTAAAAACTTATTTAATTTTTTGCAACGCGGTGGTAGAACCAGATACTACAAAAAATTTGGAAAGTAAAAGAAAAACTAAACGAATTTACAAAGGAGAGGCAAAATTGCAGAAATAAAAAAGTTGTGAAATTCAGTTTTGTGAGACGCAAAAGAATTTGCAGAGGAACCGACGCAAAGAACACTGACGTGGGCAACGTAGAAGGCGATTGATCAACGAGTACCAAATCTGGAAGCAACGCAATAGCTTTGTGGTGCAGGTCAACAAGCAAGAAGCAGGATTGTTGCCAGTGGTCATCTGGACAAAAGGCAAGGCGTGGAGCAGTACGGTAGCAGGCAGAAGGATCGCAGAAGTTGTGCGTCAGGAGAAGACGAGGACACAGGCTTCAAAGGCTGGTCAACGCAAGATAAGGAAGCGGAAAAGTGTACGGAAGGAGATCGGCGGTCAAAGAGCAGGAAGATCTTGAGAAGTACCAATTGTGGGTTTGCAGCGAAAAGTCCATTCTGGAGCAGTACTGGTGACTTGGCGTGGCTAGAAGACGAATTCAAGGTCGAGTGCATCAGGCAACGAGAAGTCCAGCTGTATTGGTGATACAACAGGAAGAATACAAAACAGTATTTGTGGGCTGGCGAGAAGTTAAGCTGATGCAGTATTGGTGAGTGACAGGAAGGCGAGACAAGATATTTGGCGATTTCGACGGGCAGAAATTTGCGGAAAGAAGAACACAAGACGAAGAGATCGAGACAAATTGCCAAATATACAAATTTTTGGATTGCTGTTCTGCAATCGTGCTGTTGTGTTTACAGCAACGTAGAGTTAAGTTTCCATTATTGCATAAATTCAAGCAGTGCATAAAGCTGCTATGTTAGAGTAACGTAATAACGTAAGTTGGCGAGTTTTTGTTTTTGATATATGTACATATTTTATTTGATAAGCATTTTATTACTCTTCTATTTTATACGACTATATTTAAGTCTTTAAAATGAACAGGCAAGAGATTTTGGCACTGCTTGTGGCAGAACTACGCGAAAAATTGACAGAGCTAGGATTAAGCCGAAATGGAAGGAAAATCGAATTGCAAAATAGACTGCTTGCTCACTATGGTTTACAAATTGATGATAACAATGAGGTAGGAATTGAAGTGGATGATGATGAGGGCGGATCTTTCGTTTCAGTACCTTCACAGGCACATGAAAATGGTGGATCAAATAGGAATTCAATTGTAGGTGGGCAAAACCGTGAAAGTTCTAATTCGGGTAGGTCATGGTTTACTTTGAAGGATGTGGAAGGAAGTGTGTCACAGTTTTCGGGAAATAATTCACCAGACATTAATCAGTGGATAGAGGAACTTGAAGAATGTGCACTAACTGTGGAATGGAGTCAGCTGCAGGTTTTTATTTATGCTAAACAACTACTTAGCGGAGCGGCGAAGCTTTTTATTCGTAGTCAGCGAGATGTTCGGGATTGGAGATCTTTAAAGAACGCATTACTCAACGAATTTGGTGTGAGGGTGTCATCAGCAGAGATACATCGTAGACTTGGCAAAAGGCAGCAGAGGAAGACCGAATCGTTGCATGAGTACCTGTATGCATTAATGGAATTGGCAAAGCCAATTGATCTGGATGATGAAAGCTTGATTGAATACTTTGTCGACGGTATTCCAGACTCTAAGACGAATAAGGCTTTACTTTACCAAGCAAAGAGTATGAGGCAGTTGAAAGTATTGATTGAGGCATATCAGAAGATGCGAGTATCAGTAAAGCAATTTAGGTATGACTCTCACTTCAATAAAGGTGACAAAGAGGTAGTAAAAACAGCCGAGAAAGTAAGGAAATGCTTTAACTGTGGGGACGAATCTCATATCAAAAGAGATTGCCCGAAGAAAGATAATAAGTGTTTTAGATGCAACCAACCAGGACATAGAGCAGCTCAGTGCAAATACGAGATCGTAGCTAAACAGGAAAAGACAACAAACTTAGTACAGACGGAAGACAGGGCGAAGCCAACAAGCACGTTTACGTCTTCAGGATTGGAGTTAAAGTACATTTCATCTGGAAAAGTTATTTTTAAAGGATTGATAGATACGGGAGCTGATTTGTGCTTAATGCGTCGCAATGTTTTCTCAAAGCTCGGAGTGGAAAAATTAACAGGAAACGAAAAATGTTTGACAGGTATCGGTGAAAGCCAAATTGTGACTTTTGGAAGTGTGACAATCCCAGTACAAATAGATGGTATTAATCTCTGTGTAGAATTTCACATAATATCGGATGAGGACATGGCTTTTGAAGCTATTTTAGGTAGAACTCTCTTAGATAGTGTGGATATGAAGATAACAAAGGACGGTACAGAGTTGATTC